TGTAGAACTAATATGACAGCAATAACCAAAGAAAAGGCAGAAATCAGGTAAATGAGAATTGGAAAAAATACAAATTTACCAAGGATACAAGTGATAATATCTAGGGGAACCAATAAAAGAGGGCAAAACTAAGAAATTCATGCCTGGGGAGTCGGGGAATAATTTAAAATATTCCATTAATTTTTTTAAAAAAGGAAGAAATGAGAGGAAAAAGAATAGGCAAGACAAATATAAAATAAATAGTAATAAGTACTGTAATTACACTAAATATCAATTGACTAAATATACTCCAATTAAAAAACAAAAGATTATCAAGCTAAGGAGCACACCTGGGGTCCTAGGCAGGAACTGAGGGCAGCATCCCTCCACCTGGAAGCAGGCAAGAAGCAGCGTACACTCAGGGTCCTAGGCAGGAGCCAAGGGCAGCATCCCCCACCCAGAAGAAGGCAAGGAGCATGCCGAAAACACCACTTCTGTGCAGGTGGCCCACCATGGCCACCACCACAGCCACAGCTGCCCAAAAAGCAGCTCAACACCACAGCAGTAGCCACAGCCACTATGCAGGTGGCCCACCACACACTCAACTGCACTGACACAAGGAGACTCACCAGTGGAGATCGGAAAAAGAGGATGTCTCTCTCCTCAAAGCCCACTCCAGAGTAAAAGAAGCAACTGCTCTACTAGATGAACAAACACCAATGTAGAGATACTAGAAATACGAAAACCCAAGAAAATATGACACCACAAAAAGAATACAGTAATTCTCAAATACCAGACACTACAGAACAGGAAACCCTTGAAATGACTGAAAAGGAATTCCAAGCCAAAATCTTAAGAAAACCTGAGATACAAGAAGACTAAGTTAGACAACATAATGAAACACACACAAAAAACCCCATGATGTGAAGGAGGAAATTTACAAAGAGATTAATACTTCAAAAAAGAATGTAGCAGAACTTATGAAACTGAAAGATTCACTCAACAAAATAAAAAACACAACTGATAGATTAAGCAGCAGGCTAGAATAAGCAGAAAAAAAGAATTTCTGATCTTAAAGACAGTCATTTCAAAATAACCCAGGTGGCCAAAAAAAAGGAAAAAAGAATTTTTTAAAAATGAAGAAAATCTTGGGCCGGCCCGTGGCTCACTCGGGAGAGTGCGGTGAACACCAAGTCAAGGGTTAAGATCCCCTTACCGGTCATCTTTTGAAAAAAAAAAAAAATGAAGAAAATCTAAGAGAGTTAGCAGTCAACCTTAAGTGCACAAATATTCAAATCATGGGTGTTCCACAAGGGGAGGAGAAAGGAAAAGGCATGTAAAATCTATTCAATGAAATAATAATAACGGAAAATTTTCCAGGTATAGGGAGAGACACGGACCTTCAGATACAGGAGGCTCAAAGATCCCCAAACAGATTCAACCCAAAAAGATCATCTCCAAGACACGTTATAGTCAGACTGGCAAAGCTCAAAGACAAAGAGAGAATCTTAAAAGAAGAGAAAAGCATCAAGTCACCTATAAGGGAGCCCCTATCAGACTAACAACAGACTTCTCAACAGAAATGCTACAGGCCAGTAGAAAATGGGATATTATGTTCAAAATACTAAAAAACAAACAAACTGCCAACCAAGAATACTATACTCAGCAAGGCTATCCTTCAGAAACAAGTGGAAAATAGTGTATTTTCCAGACAAACAAAAACCGCTGGAGTTCACCACCACACGACCAGCCCTCCAACAAATCCTCCAGGAAATCCTGCATTTGGAATCCAAAACCTACTGGTAGAACAAAAATGCACACGAGAAAGAGAAAGAAAGAAACTAAATTTTACCACCACACAAAAAGAAAAGTTAAAAAGAAAAAAACATAATGACAATGTTAATAATGCCCCTGCTTTATTTCCAATTTTACTAATTTCAGTCTTCTCTATTCTTTTCTTGGTCAATCTAGATAAAGTTCACAAATTTTGTTGACCTTTTTAAAGGAAAAAAGAAAAGAAAATGAAAGCAGTTTTAATAAAAATAGTTTTAGAGAGAAAAAAAGATTACTAAATGCGATTAAAAAACAAAACCTAATTATATTCTGCTTAACATGTTAGCAAATGTGCATAAAGGTATAGAAATTAAAAGGACGGAATAACATATTTAATGCAAATACTAATGCAAATACTAATCAGAAGAGCTAGAGTCACTCTACTAATATCGGATAAAGAAAAATTTAAGTCAAAAAGCATTACAGAGATAAGGGGGAAATTCCATAGTGATAAAAGAGTTAATTATCAGGCAGGTATAATAAGCCTAAATTTGTTATCAGCAAAAACTAAAAGAAATAAACAAATCCTCTCTCAGGAAATGACAGATCAAGCAGATAAAACAGAAAGCAGGGATATGGAAGATATCAACAAGACTAATGAACCTGACCCAATTGATATTTCTAGAACACTGCACAGCAAATTTCAAAGGACTACAATAACAGTGTATATTCTCAGACCACTTCGAAATTACATTATAACTCAATAACAGAAATACAAGTAGAAAATCCTCCAAATGTTTACAAACTGAGAAATAAACTTCTAAACTCATAGATCAAAAAAGAAACATAATGGAAATTTAAAATCACATTGGTAATCATATTATATTTTGAGCAAGACAATAATGAAAATATGACATATCAAAATTCATCAGCTGGGCCGGCCTGTGGCTCACTCGGGAGAGTGCGGTGCTGATAGCACCAGGGCCACGGGTT